CTCTCTGCTTTTCTCACGAATCGAATCTCAGGCCCAGGGCGTATTGAATGAAAGCTGCTTATAGTGCTTGTTATCGTTTTAACTATTGCCAATTTGTGTATTCTCACAATTTTCTTAAAGGTGGTATCTTAAAAGGGGTAATAAGAAAACTGCTACAGTAAAATCTGACTGAGTGGGAAACGATAGGGACAAAAAAAAATTCTGTTTTAGGGAGGTTGCTGTGCAGGGTTGTCCATTTAACAACACTTGTGATATTGATATATCTATTCTGAAACTAATAAATGTTACAGTTCTATGGTTTTTGCAATTGTTAAACTGGTTGTGAAACACACAAAACTACACATCATCTCACTGTAATGGCTGTACTCCGATTGCTTGCTGATTCTTTCAATGTACAATGAGTCACAGCCCAAAGTACTATAATTAGAAAATTATAGTATACTCTCGCATGGCCTTGATCATTGTGTCTCTGGCCGAGGAGTTTCAATTTTAAACATGGGGGCAGGGAGAGGCACGAATAGAAGCCAAGCCCGTGCACCTTCCCAAGCTCAGAGTTGGGGGGCGGGGGATTCTCCTACGCTTTGAAAGAAACTAAGAATTCCCGCATGCCTTAAAAAGACAAGTGATCCCAAGGTCAAATTCTATGCTGTCCGCTGAGGCCCCTCTCCTTTCCAGTGTGGTTGCCATGACTAAATTGCATGGTATAGAGAATTTAAAACAGACTTGCAGATATTCAATACATTAAGAATATCTCAAATCCCTGCCAATTGCATTAAATTCACAGGAATTCTGTCTCAAAAACTTTTTCCACGTATGGGACATGAAAAACCATTCCATTTCCACATTGGACAGGTTCCGTTTTATGTTGTGTAAAATACCATGTAACTTCACGGCACAGCAAAATTTTCCAGGTAAGGCAGGTTTTTGGCTTGTACAGATTCCAGTTTAGACAGATTTTACTGTATTAAGGGGTCAGGAAGAGGGGTGGTCTGTTATGAGTAGGATTTACATCCAAGTATGGGTTTTGGTGTCCAAGAAAATTCAGTTATTGAGAGGGGTGGTTTTTCAGAGAGGTTTAACTGTAATTACTCTTTGACCATCTTTTCTATTTGTGTTCCTAGAAGGTACACAAAATTAAAATGCTTCAACCTACAAGTATTGAAGAAACACACTAGCATATAGTAACAGAAAATATAATGTAAAGAAAGCTATTTTCATACAAAAAACAAAACAGAAATATGGATGTGATATTGCAATAGTTTTGTATGAATGTCAAGAACTTTAAGCTTAGAGATCAATAATGAATAAAATTAAAATTGGTTTTAAAATGTTCCACAGCAAATGAATCTGCAATATAACCCTACAACCCACTACAGTTCTTTTACTTAGAAATGTTATAATTAAGTCACTGACATGAATAACATTTTAAAAACTGTAACTAATTTAGAAACAACCTAATCTTTGATTCTGGCAAAATTTAACTCTTTACTTTTACATTAATGCTTGGAAAACATTTACTCCTAGAGCTCCTAACTATACGATCATTGATTTTTAAAAATAGATTAATGAAGAAGTTCTGAACCACAGACCCCAAAGCATTTGACCATTTTTGAAGCACATGCTATTTTATGTATTCTTGCCAGTTATGAGTCACTCCAATTTAATGGACCATTAATCGAACTTGAACTCATGCGAAATGGAACTGTAATCAAATCTAAAGCTTGTGCAGGTAAGAGTACTAACAAGAAATATTTCTTCAGCATACAGAAATAAAAGCTAAAAAAAAAAAAAAGAAAAAGAAAAAAAATCATCAAAATCAGAGGTGAGGTAGTTTCTATGCATGTTCACAGTAAAATGTTGCAAGTATCAAAATTTTAAACAAATATATCATTTCTAAATATTTACAAATAAAATCACAAAAACTAGATATTGATTCGGAGCATAGATATCAAAAGAAGGAATTACGGTCACAATTTAGCTAACTGAACAACCCATACAATACAACTCTTCCTAAAGACAAATACAATGGAACTTTTATTATCCCGGGTCTGCAACTTTGGGATAATTTACTTTATATAATGAATTATTTTGGAAATATATTACAAATTTATCTTGGAAAATGCAGACAGAAAATAGAAATCAAACACAGTAAAAATATAAAACAGAATATTTCTGTAAATAAAATTGTAAAATATACTAAATTGATGTGAATTACTTAATATATAGATTGTAAATTTTCATATATAAGATTTTTTATATATTTCTTAAAATAACTTTTGATTAACACTTTTCGACTAATTAAAAAACAATTTCTATTATTTGGGTTTCCAACTTTCTGTGCATCCCCTTCTATGTTATTACCCCAGATAATGAAAGATTTACTGAATATTAAATAATTGTAAGTCAAGAAAATTGTATGGCACAATTAGTGTAGTTTTGAAGTCAGAAATTGCAACATGCGAATTATTGGATATTACCAGTTACGAAATATTATGATAATGTGGATTAATAGCATGAAGATGGATTGTTAGAGGCGGGGGGAGATCTCTCTTGAACATGATTTATCCAATACGAATCTACTTGGATTGAATAGAAACTGAACCCTATCCAATCCAAGAAAGGAGGAGGAAGAGAATAAGAAGAAAAGGAAGGACTAGAAGAATAAGTAAAATGGAGGAGAATGATTCACTTAATTCATGAAACTCTCTTTATAAATTGCTCACAAAATTATTCTAAGACTCTCTGTAAACAAAACAGCAGAATCAATGAAACCTTCAGAAGAAAGTGTAATAAGTGATAATTTTGAATACACACTTCATCTGATTGGTTTGTTTTGTCCCAATACTTGCTTGCAATTGGCATTTTTATGAGCAAAATAGTCACTACAATATTGCCCTGATTCTTCAAAACTGCTATTTTAATTTGTTACACACACAAATATGTATGTATGGATACAGAAACACATCCAAAAATACAGTCTCAAACGGGTAACATCCCTTCTCAGACTACTAGCGTAAAAATTATGTCTGTATACGTAGTACTCTATTACATACTTACATACTACTGAAATATAATACATACGTATTTATGTACTAGTGTGATTATGATCATGCGTTTCTGAAAAAGTACTTTTCATATTCGAAGTAATTTAGGAAAATGTTCATAATTTTATAATCACACCATTGTAATGTGTTACCTAAGTCGTTTATGGAATTATTATTATTATTATTATTATTATTATTATTATTATTATTATTATTATTATTATTATAGTATTTCACAAACTATTAAAACCAATTAAAAAATATTTACTGCTCAATATCTACTAATTATTTTAGAATAAATATAGAAGAGTTTGAGAGACTGATGTAATCACTAATGTCATAAATAAGATATTACCAGTTGAGGTAAAATAACTGAAAGCTTGAAAACTGTCCACAAAGAAGTAATTTTGAAGTTTTCCTTCAGAATTGTTCATGAAACAGTTGCTGCTAATTAATACTAGTGACCTTTGTGAAAACTGATATTAGTCACACACACACAAAAGAAAAGGGAAACGTATAATTCTACTATTCTAGTTTTTCTCTGGGACCAATACGAAGGGGATACAAGATCTATTGAGTCAATGGTTAAGATTAGCTGAGTTCAATTTGTACATACCCCTGTGAATAAGCCTCGGAACTGCTATAGTCACAGACAGAGATGAAACTGTACTGTTCCTACCCAAATGTAAAGTTTGCCACAAAATAAATCACAATAGAACCAGTCACTTTTTGAAGAATAAACAAGTCACAATAATAAAATTGAAAGATAATTAGAAATGATAGGAATTGCAGAGAACATTACCAACTTAAAATTGAAAGTTTACATACAATTCAAAATCAAGCTTAGTAAATGTGATACTAAGCATCTATCATACAAATTCATTTTGCAGAAGTTTCAATAACAAAAAAGCTATGAGGAGGACACCATTGTATAATTACATTTTCTGTATTTCCTCTAACTTCTAAAACTGATAATTTTAATTTTCAAAATTTCTTACTCTCTCTTGATATCCTACACAAACTCAATAAACAAAAGTTTACAATAACTTAGTTACAATAAACCACAAAAATAACCTTTCATTATTAGTGAAATGAGAAGATTCCAAATTCCCAATATAAGAATACTTAATTGTAATACTTCCAAACAAAACCCCCTACTTTTGTAGAAATGTACATTAGAACTCTCAGCTGGACTACAATTAAAGAATAATCATCAAATAAAGTTATTCCACACATAATGTATTTTATGGGTCCGGGTAAATTCATTTGCTTTGGTACACTCACAGATTCTGTGTAGTGCATTTTGAAAACAGCAAGAAATGTTCTAGGAACATAGGACCAGGTTGCTGAAAGTCATATTTCAAAAAATTAAATAGTAGTTTATTGATAATTGTAATATCACAGCATCAAATTGATAAAATCTGAATATACTCAATTTTAAAGGAGTACCAAAAGACACAACTTTAGAGCACACTTGTATCTTTTGTTTTAAAATTATACCTACTGACTGAAAATTACCTAAATAATACAAGGTATTAATAACCTGCACATCAAATAATCCTAATGCTAGTAACTCATAACACATTAAATAGACAGCAATACTTTCAATAATAATAATAATAATAACAACAACAATAATCAAAGAAAAAGAAGGGACCCAAGATATATCACAAATTTATCTTGGTTAAAATATGGTTTTGTCAATAAATTGCATTACCTTTTCCAAATTATATTTCTATGTTGAATTCCTTTAAATCTATTTTATGGATGATTCAGTACATATTTTTATGACAGCAAAGACATTCTCTAGGGTGCGTAAAAATTATTCCCTACAATTAGGAGTTTCTCAAAAATAAAGTAAACCAACTATCACCATTATAAATGAAAACAAACTAAAAAAAGTACTTCCCATGTTTAAAGAAATCAAACTTGCAATAAAATGTAAAATACATTATTAAAATCTTATCAGAAAAAAGTTAAATAAAATTTCATGCTGTCTTCTACAATGGCTTTACAGAATGGCTAGTCTTAAAAACAATCAATTCACAAAATCATGCTCTAACTAATTTGATAATTGGGTATTGCCTCAGTATTCACATTATTTGGAATGTTACTAAGGAAACTGAAGAATAAACAATTACAATAACCGATTCAAAAAAAAGGAAAGCTCAAACCAAGTGCCTGGATGGAAATATTGTTTCAAGATTTTTTACAAGTTGAACTTTTTTTGTTGTTGTTGTTTGTTGTTTGTTGTTGTTGTTGTTGTTGTTGTTGTTGTTCTTGTTGAGAGGCAGTCAATTAGGATAAAATAAAATGTTATTCAGTAATATTGGCTCAAAATAATAATGCTCAAATTTGACAACTAAATACAAAATATTTTTTTAAGTTCTTTATTTGCAATCTTTAATTTTGAAATGGGTTCATCAAATCATTATATTTCGACAAAATGATCAGTCACTTGAGAGGTAAGTTTCCATAAGGCATTGAAACTCTTAGGTCCCTAGAGCAAAATCTTCTTAAGCAAGAATTCACAGTAAATTTGCATCTCATGTAACTATTACATAATTAAGTATCATTTCATGTCCCTTTTCAAAATATTTCAATACTAAATAGGCCTGTTTTAAATTGCCTGGAAGTGATGTAGCTATTACACAAGCCATCTAACATGTAAAAAATTTAAAAATTTCCATATATATTTGTAAATGGATCAAATACACCCTCAAAATCACATTTTAACAGAACTTAATGAAACATTTATAAATTTTCTTTTCTACAATATGTAGATTCCACATAGAACACTTAATGAGAAAATCAGGTACAAAGTCACAGTACCATTTGGAGGACTTGCGTTAAAAACTCTCAGTAAATATGATCAGAAAATGTCTCTCTGCAAAAAATGCCATAACTGATCATTAGATTGCTTCCATTACGATCATGCCTGGTCAATTTGATTTGAAAACTGCAGCTATTTTCTGTACACTGATCATTACATCAATGGTTAATTGACAATTCTTGGACCGGTACAGCTGCAGATTTCCTCACTTAAATGTATAAGCAATTTCAGCACATAGTTGACCAGTTTGAACTAAAAATGGGAGCAGTTTGTGCATTTGAAAAACCCAACAAAGGTTGTGCAATATTTTCCAGAGGTCAGGATGTTAAAATACTCCTCACAGCTTCATCCAATGCCGAGTCTGCATTTTCAGTACTGTCATCTTCCACACTCCTACCATTAGTAACTATAACATCACTACCTTTACTTGCAAAATCAACTTCTCCACTGTACTCAACAAGAGGAGATCGCATTTGTGAACTGGTTACATCACCCTTTATTTTTTTGTGCACTAACAAAGTTCGGCTTTCTGATGATTTAACATCAGTGTCTAATCTCAACCTACTCTCAGATTGTAAATCTAAGTCACTTATCTCGGATGATGTGTTAATTACTGAGTTAGAAGGTAGTTCAACACCATCCTCAGTACGTTGGAGATTTAATATGCTATCAATCGCACTTTGAACTTGAGCGTTAATTTCATCATCATCATCACATGTATTTTCATTTATAACATTTCGAACGTAATGAGTGCCTTCATTTCCTGATGGAACTAAACAGGATGTTAAATGTTTGTGCCTCTTTTTCTTCGGCAAAAAGGTCAATGTATTCTCAACACTATCACAGGCTTCTTTAATTTCAATCACCTCACTTTCACTTGTACTACTCACTCTACTTGAATATCCGTGCACAGATACTTTACCAGTACTACTTTCCCCCCCACCTTCATCACGAGGCCCACCCACACCACTTCTATTTTTAACACCACCAATTGATATAGGAAATTTCTTTGCCCAATCATGTTCATCAGTTGATCCACAACGTGTGTGGTTAGTGCTCTTCTCTGATCCTTCATTTTGAGTCTGATAATCATGTGCTGATGTACTATCAGGAGAATTGTGTACAACTTCCAGTTGTTTCATAGTTCCTGAAAATTTGATATCTAAACTTATATTAGCATTTGCAGCGGCAAAATCAGCAGTATTACTAGGATCTGCATTATTTACATTATTTGAATGAAGTTTAGAGTCTTGTAGTTCAGCACACGTATCAGAGTTATTTTCACCATGCAGAGTGCTGACAGAATTATCCACAGCGTCCATTTTTTCTGGTTTCACTCCAGCGCTAGGACAAAATACACTCAACTCTTTCTGAATTTCTTCCCACTCATCGTAGCTTTGATCTACTTTTGATGCAGATGAGCTAGTTTGATGATATGGTTCTTCAGAATTATCTTCAAGATCCAATTTTTCTCTCTTCACTACAGTGAATTTCTTATCTTCTTCCAGCTCTCTTTTAATAGATTCATTTTTCATAACATCTTGCACCACAACCCGTACCTCTTTCAGATCACTAGCACTTGAACATGGACCAACTTGACTTCCAGAGCCAGAGTCTTCATTTTCTGTTTTGATGTTTGCAGTTAACAAAAAACCATTAGAGCCAGTGTCTTCCTTCTGGTAGATACTCTCTTCTGAAAAAAATAACAACACAAAACAGCATATGAATTCTATGAATATGACATTTATACAGTCATTATTATTTTAAAATATCTACAATTAAATTTCCTCTTATACAGACTTTCTTAAAAAAATATAAAAAATTAGGAACAGTTATCTTATTCTTAATCTGTTTATAAACATCAGTGTTGTATTTTTGTAGATTTACATAATTAATATATTTTATTTTTTTCTCTTCTACCTGAGGATCTGCATGACAGCTAACATAATACTGTGACAAATGTTTTGAAACGAAAACAGAACGTCAGCACATAAAAATAACATTTAATATGAACCAATGAGGGTGTAAACTGCTCTCTTTAAGCAAAGTATTCTTGAATAATCAAGAAGTAACACAAAATCTATTCATACAGAATAGACATTTTGAATACTCTAATGTATGAACTCACTAGTGTACTCGGACCCAGTAATGATGAGAATTAAGTTCGAGGTGACAGAGTAGTCGCACAAAATTTACTCCCAAAATATCTTTGACGGGACGTTGGAAATGAAAGTGAAGTTTGCAGAATGGCAGCTGAAACATTGGCACCTGTGCCTAGGATGCAGCGCCTCCCAACAGCCAAGTAAATACAGGGAAGTTTGAAAGATTTAAAAAAAGATTGTCAAGTTTCAGCTTGATGGAAAAAGATAAAGACTTGCCTCATTAGTTTTAAACTTAAATTTAATAAATAATAATAATTTAAAAAAATAATTTGCAATTTTTCACAAAAAGCAGGTGCAAGCAATTTATATAAATATAAAAATTGCATATATATATATATATA